AGGAATCATTACCTGATGGCTTCATTTCAGGTAATAGGGGCTAGGGGCCAGCTGTTGTATTGGGGAATCCAGTAAATGTCAGCGCGTTTACTGGACTTTTTTTTCTGAGGTGGTTTAGTTTCTCCAGAGAAGCCTCCTTTCATTCTCACTGGCCACCCCCAAAAGGGATGTACTCGGTCCATAGAATTCTAGGAGTGGAGGAGGGACGAGGGCTAGGGGACCTCACCTTCTTATGCGGGTTTCACTTAATTTTTCTGTTTTCATCCTTATCTCTTCCCTGTCCTCTAAGCTCTGTTTAATTTTTAAAGATTATCAGCTCTTTGCCCTTTGCTGATGGGTGGGAGAGGTCCCCTGGAGGCCTGCCCACCCACGTACAGTCTTCGGTCAGCTCCTTGTGGCAGTTCCTGTGTTTCCCGTAGTCCCGAGATGCTCGGGGCTTTTCTGAAGTGCATCAGCTCACTTCTTGTCTGTTCCCCACGGGAGGCACTTTTTGGCTGTAATTCCCTTTGCCCCTTCGCCCCACAGAACGCATTCTAGCTCTGGTCAGCCTTTTCAGTGGTCGGGCTGTCTTGTCGCTGCGGTCTCTTCTCTGTTGTCTTTTTCCGTGGTGCAGCACATTTTAAAAAGTCCTTTGCTGTCATTTCGGTTGGCTGTTTGGAAGGGGAACAAGTGGACTTGTATGGTTCGCCTTCCATTTTAACCAGATATCCAGAAAAATGGGTCTTACCTGAGGGCCACTTGCAATGGATCGGTCGTTGTTGTTTGGAATGCTGGGTCCAGAGAATCTAGAGAAGGTGCTGGACTGACTGGTAATGTCTGTCATTGGTGTGGCAGGGGAAGATAGTGGCACATTTACTATGTGTTTGCTGCCCCTGCTCTTTAGGCAATGAGGAATTGTTGAAGTTTTTGAACAGGGCATGACACAGCTAGAGTTGTGCCAGTTGAATAAATGAGCTCTCCAGACTGGAAGCAAGTAAGAGTCTGCAATAACACAGGTCAAGAAAGGGGCAACAGCCTGTTTATGACCTCAGCCAGAGAGGACTTAAACAATCTTACTTCCCTTTTCTCTCTCCCTTCCAGCCCTGACTGTGGGAATTGGAACCAAGAGGCCTTGCCCTGGGCAACCAATAAGCACTGTCTCTGTGCAGCCAGTGCTGCTGGCCCCTTTCCTGCCATGTGCATAGGGAGGCGTCTGGCCTCTCCTTTGGGGAAGCCTACACCCTCTCTTGAGTCGTGCTTCCCCTCCCCCAAACCTGTCCAGGCTTCACCTTGACTCAGAAGGAGGAGCTTGGGTGAAGTGACTTGTGTGGATGTTCCCCAGCACTGGCTCAGCTATGCTGAGGGTACAATTTCAGGTCGGAAGGGAGGCCTGGTGGACCGGAGGTGTTTATGGGAACTTGACTCTAGAGTGGGGAGATGACATATTTGGGTCTCTTTTCACTGGCTCCTGTGTTCTTTAATTGGGAGACAGTATTGTGCATTCTTCTAGCCACCGTCCTAGGCCGCTCAAATGTGAGGAGATGGAGGTGTGCAGGAAGTAGGGACCTGGCTGTGAGGTACCCAGCCAGAGTGACAGTCTTTGTGTGGTCATTCTTGTTATGTACACAGCGAGGTGGGCCAGGGTGGTCGGTGAAAGGTTACCTCTGGTTACACTGTCACCGTGTTTTATATATATATATATGCATGTTGTATCCTTGCCACACCCTCAAAGGTAGATAGAGGTGACAGCCACATTTCATCTAGGGGACATGGGCACAGGGAGGTTAAGGCTTGCCAGGGTCACCAAGTTCCTAGTGGCAGAGTCCGGATTCAGACCCAGGCAGTCCAGCTCTAGAACCATCACACTAAACTGCCTGCCTTGCAGAGCACCTGGGTCGTCCTCCATGCAGGGCCTGGTGCTCCCCTTGCTCCTATTAGAGGGGCTCTGGATTGCCCAGACCCCTGTGGAATGGTGGGGCGTGGTGGCATGGACAGCGCAGATGCGCCACTGTGCTGTTGGGTTTCCTAGAGCCCAGACTTCCCTTCCAGAAAGTGGGATGGGTCATCCCGTCTGTCCTGCAGCCTTACTGGCAGCCCATTCCTGGCTCTGAGGGGCTGTCGAAGGTGGGATGGCTGGGAGGAGAAGAGAAGGTAAGGAAGACTGAGGGCCATGGAAATGGGAGTAGGCAGCTTCCAGTCACAGCCTTGGTGCTCTGGTTGGGGGCTGGGGCTGTGCACGCCATCGGTGCTGCGTGGGCCCATTGCAGCCTTTGTCTCCCAGGAGCTCACACCCCTGGGGCAGTCACTGCTATGCAGGGAAGCTTGGCAGTCAAGCCAGACCTCTCCCTGTCAACGGAGCACAGGGTGGGCCCACTGGGGCCCAGCTGGCATGTAGAGGCTCTGGCCTTGATTCAAGAACTATGTCCTGAGCAAATCTCAGCTTCTCTGGTCCTGTTTCTCCATCTGAAAGTGAGCAGTTTGTTTTTGAGGGCTCACCACGAGCTGTCTCTCCGAGGTCCTGCTGTGTGTGGAGTCGGCCAGCAGTGAGGGGAGGCTGTGCCCCTGCCTCCTGCCTCCCTGTACCCGAGCCAGGCCCTCTCTGAAGGCCTGAAGCATGGGCAGCATGAGGACAGGTGAAATTAGAAATGGGGGCACGTTGGTGGCCAGGACACTTTGGTGGTCATCTCATCTCTCCTCTCCTCCTGTGTGGGGAGGGTAGAGGCACCAGGGAAGCGCAAATCTGTGATGAGGACCCCATGGGGTCCTTACAGGCGGTGTGGAGTCCCAGACATCTGGACCCTCGTCTCCTGGGCCCTGGTCTGGCCACCCCTCCCCAGCCATCAGCTGGTGTGAGACTGGCCACACACAATGTAGTGAAGGCAGCAGAACAGCTCCACTTCTCCTGAAGACTTCCTTTCTTCTTCCTGGCCGTTTTCCGCTTCCAGCACCAGGCCTTGCATGGGCCTCCCGGGAAATTGACCAGAGTTCCCCCAAGTAGGAGGATTTTGCTCTCTCTCACCCAGCCTCCCACTGAAATTCCTGCTCCTATTGAAGGGATGACAGTATCACCTCCTAGACTCATGGACCACCAGGATACCTTGCTCCTATCTAGAAGTGGCATCTGGGTGCAGGAGGGGTTGAATCGTGGGGCTGTGCCCCGTTGGATTCATATGGTGGGGTCTGCAGCGGGGCTGAGAAGCTGAGATCCCCTCCCTGCTCCAGGCTCCCCCGAAACATGTGAGACCAACAGAGGCCACCTCTGCCCTTGAGGTGAGGGTAGAGAGGACTCTTAGATACTGGTGGCCATTAACACCAGCCTGCAAATTGAAAATGCTGGGCAGAGCTGAGCTGAGGCCATGAGGGAGGCGAGTACCCTGAACTGTCTGTTCATCCTAGCCTGCTGTCCCCTTTTGGGCCCTGACATTTCTCCCAGGCACATACCAGCACATGACAATGAATCTGAGACCCTCCAGCCCCCACACCCAGCTACGGCTGTCCCGGCTCATCTGTCAGTCACCGGATCTCCCACACCTGTTCCGGGCACAGCCTGTGAGCTGCCCACCCGCACCACAGCTATGAATAGGGTGGAGGATGGGGAACAAGGGGGCATTCTGAGGGCAGGAGGGTAAGTGGTGGTGGGGGCACCTCTCAGGGTAGTGGGGGGCAGCTTTGCTCTTAGACTGAGAAAGTAGAGAAGCAAGCTTGTTTGGGAGAGGTGCTTGGAGTAGGGGGGATACGTGGGTGGAAAGGAGAAGGGTGGGGTTATAATGAGAGGGATGGGGCACCCTGGGGTGCATCACCTGCATTGCTGGTGGCATATCCTGGGTCTGCGCAGCGTGTCACCGCAGGGTGGGTTGGTTCTGGGGCAAACTGGATTTCACTTGTGGGATATCTGTCTCCCCCAAACAACCAGGTCACTTATTCTACTTGCTCTCCCTTGGGAGCAGAGACAATGTTTCAGTGTCTCTGGACCCCCACTGTCCAGAGCTGTGCTGCGCTGGGGCAGGATAAATGGGTAATTGACTAGTTTTGAAAGGGTCAGGTGAGTGGGAGGTGGTGACAGAAGCGTATTTGAAATGGGGGCAGAGCCGGGGCTCAGAGGACTGCCCCATAAGCAGGAGATTGTAGGTCCCTCCTTGGGACCAAGGGACCTCTCTCCTCTTACCTGGCACCACCTGGAGGTGAGAGGTGGAACAGCCACACGTGACCTTTATGGAAGGCCCATCCTCAACCTGGCACTGCCCAGGGCCTGGCAGATCTTAGTTCTTGCTTCAAGGGTGCTTACTGCCTCTAAGGGACAAGGGACTGAACCACTGTGGCCAGCACAAGGCAGTGAGGGGTGTGTCCAGATCACTTTGAGGGTGCCGGGTAGCTGCTATGTTCATGTAGTAGGAAGAGCCTAGGAGGGTTGGGCCGGTCCTGCCAAGCCTGGTGTGTAGCATTCTTTTAGGTGGCGTGTGAATAGACATTTTTAAAAATAGTTATGCATTCATTTTCAGATATAATAGAAAAATAGAGTCCCCGATTTCATGGATATATTGGCTAGAATGGAGTTAAGGAATATGAGTGAGTTGATGGGGGGCACAGTAGGACCTATGGTGGGTGGTACATGAGTGCAGTGTTAATCACTGGGAGGCCAGCAGTGGCTGAAGTCGGAGAGGCATCATTTTGTGCTGTGTCCTGGCCCCTTGGATGTCCCCTGCTCACTCCCATGTGCTATGTTCAGGTGCTGCTCTTCCCAGAGAGCTGAGCTTCCTGCCAGCTCTTCCTCAGGTGTGGTCCACGTTTCTGCCCCACAACTAATGCAGGTCCCCATGTTCTCTTTTCCACTTTTCAGGCAGTACATCCCAATTTTATGCCAGGCCTGCAAGTGGGGAAAGTTGGAAGCTTTCCAAGCTTCTAGTGTCCAGGATCTTTTCAGGTCCTCCTGATTGCCTCCTGGCCCTGGAGCCTGCTTGTGGCCCTGGCAGTGTGCGTGCCGACTTACCTGTCACTTCTTTGCTTTCCCTGTCTCTCTCCAGGCAGATCTCAACACTAATATGGAAGATGAAGGCAGCTCCTTCTATGGGGTCTCCAGCCAATATGAGAGTCCTGAGAACATGATAATCACCTGCTCCACCAAGGTCTGCTCATTTGGCAAGCAGGTGGTGGAGAAAGTGGAGGTAGGAGCAGCCTGAGCATTTGTTAAACCAGACCGTTTCCCTACTTCAGAGTGGCCTTCATTTGTGTCCTCCTCTGTCTCCAGTTCGTCTGAACTAGTGAAGGCTTACCCTCACTCTTAGTCACAGATAACCCACCTTATTTTGGACACCCCCAGGTGCCCGCTGGTGCCAGGAGGAGATGTCTCTTCCCCACTGTTCTTGCACCTGGCCACACCTCCGATCACTAGAGCTCTTGAAACACGCCAGTGCCTGAACCCCACTTCACAGCACTTGACCCAGAATTTCTGGGGTAGGATCTGGGCAATAGCTGTTTGTAAAAAGCTCTTCAAGTTATTTATTTTAAATTAAATTTTTATTTTGAAATAATTGTGGATCCATATGCAATTGCAATTCCACATACCTGTCACCCAGCTCCCCCAAGGGCAACATCTGGCACAGCTGTTGGCAACTAGGGAGTGGGCATCAGCGCTTCTCACCAACCTGACTCAGATTTCACCAGTTTGTGCAGACTCATTTGTGTGTGTAGATGCCAGTGCACGACTACAAGGGTTCCTGGATGTCCTTCCCCCCATGTTATTTTAGTTTGGGGCCAGGGTTGAGTTGTCCTCTATCCTCTCTTGCCTGTTGCTACTGCTCTTATGTCTTGAAGCACTCCTATTCCCATACTCACTTTCTGAGTATGGGAGGTCAAGGTGAATAGTCCTTCTGCCGCCACTCGGGCCACTGTCACTGGGAGGAGGGAGGCTCTGTTTTCTAGCATCTCCAGCCCTTCTGCCTTTTCTTCCCACTTAAGTATCACTGGGCCGTAGAGCTTCTCCTTGCAGTTGGGTCTGGGCTAGATGTGGTCAGAAGAGAGTCTAAGCCCTGCTGTCCCTTGCGTCCTACAGACTGAGTATGCCCGCTATGAAAATGGCCACTACTCCTACCGCATCCACCGGTCCCCGCTCTGTGAGTACATGATCAACTTCATCCACAAGCTGAAGCACCTGCCCGAGAAGTACATGATGAACAGTGTGCTGGAGAACTTCACCATCTTGCAGGTGTTTGCCGGAGCTGGGCATGCTGCAGGGGTGGGTCAGAGGGTGGAGCAAATGGCGTGCCCTCTCCTGGGGCCTTAACTCCAATCTTTTCTCTCACCTGCAGGTGGTCACCAACAGAGACACACAGGAGACTTTACTGTGCGTTGCATATGTCTTTGAGGTGTCAGCTAGTGAGCATGGGGCTCAACACCACATCTACCGGCTGGTGAAAGAATAAGAGACTTGGGGAGCAGGGCGGGGGAAGAGACATTGTGTGTGTAAGGATGTGGGGAGGGGATCTGCAGGGGCAGCCCCCTGAAGTGCCAAGAAAACTGACTGTTCCTACCCAGAAACAAACTGTGCCTGAACCTGCAGTGCCCAACCCCAAATAAACCCAAGATGTGTATTTTCAGAGGACCCCATCTGGCTGTAGGAGCTCTGGGAGGGCTGTGGGAGAAGGGGAGTGGTCTGGGAAGCGGGCTGGAAGCAGCCCCAGAGATGTATTTGGGCAGTTCTGAAGCCATTGCCCCCATGGACTCAGTCAGGAGTGTCACCAGACGCTGAGCCTCAAGATGGGATGGTCCATCTGCTGCCTCGAGCCCTGCACCCTGCCGCTGGCCACCCTGGGAAGCCTGTGGACAGGCGTGTGGGCTCTCCATCCTGCGTGCACTCAGGTGCGCCCTGTGGCTGTATGGGCGTGGTGTGTCTGCACTCTCTGGCTGCCTCTGCAGCCAGGGCCACTAACAGGGCTACCAGTCCAACACAGCAGGGGTGTTAGGTGACTGAATTGTTGGAAATGTTGGAAGGGGATGCAGAGCTGTCTAGTTTTTATCCAGTGGTGGTGGATTCCATGGCCCTGCTGGCTTGCTGGGGGACTCGTTCCAGACCAGAGGGGCCTGGGACAGGGAGGGGAGGAGGGCAGTGCTGAAGCTGTCCTGAGGTGTTGAGGCTGGCATCATGCAGCATCTTTTTTGGTGAGGAAAACCAAGAAAGTTGGTCAGAGGCCTGTGGTGGACCAGTGGTCTCTCTGAGACCCTCTGGTTCTGACGTTCTGAGTCTGAACTCCCTCACAGCCAAGATGCCTGTTGGGTGGTGACCACCTCAGAGCCAACCCAGGCCGTCCACTCCCTCCCCAAACAGTAGTGCCTGTGCTCCCTGGGGGTGGGGGTAGGGGGTAGTGTGGAGCCCAATCTGGGCCTAGAGGCAGCCAACTGAATAGGTTCCCTGTTTATGTCTCCTGGGAACTGGCAGGGACTTTGGGTTTCAGCAGTCCAGGCTTCATCCTAGTATTCCTAGCTGCCTGACTTTGGGCAGATGTCTCCATCTTTCTGAGCCTGCATAGAGGGCACTAATACCACCCACCTTAGAAGGCCTTAGTGAGGAAGAGAGACGGTGTCCACAAAGTGCCTGTTGCAAGATGCACTGGACATTTTCAGTAGTTAACCACTGACCATCCTCAGGGAGACCTGGGCCTGGCTCTTTGCTGCCATCTAGTGGCTCTTGGTAATCATCCCCAGTGAGAACCACAGTCCCAGGAGCCTGGAATTCAGCCTACAGTTTTTTTTTTACTGTGCCCAGCCCTCAGGGACGTAGTTATGAGAACATACAAATGAGGAAGGCAGCATCTAGGAGGTGGTACAGAGTGTGGGTAGGAGCAGGGGCTCTGGTGTCAGACCACTAGGATTGAAATGCCAGTGCTTGGCTACTGCTCAGCGGTGTGACCTCGGGCCAAGTTACCAAATTCACCGTGCCTTGGTTTCCCCATCTGTACAATGGGTATAACAGTATCTACCTAGTATATGTAGAGCATCATGCTGAACGTGTAAATGTGTTTGATAAATATGCTTTATTAATAAGTAGGAGCTTGGACAACTGGCTGACCCGGTCCTCAGAGCGACTGGACTTCAGAGATAGGTCAGAGCAGGGTGTGGAGGATTCAGGGAAGGGGCCCAAAATGAGAGGGGCTGCCCCTTAAAGGATGAGCAATGTTTAGATAAGCAAACAAGAAGAAGGCTGGCCAGTGGTTCAGGTGGGAAAAGAAGCCAGTTACCCAGTCTCCCTCTGTCCTCCACAGGCCAGCACCCCCTCTCTATTAAAAGTCAGCCTTACCAAACACGTGTACTACTGCTGGGTCTCACACCAAGTGGCTTAACTTTACTGTTCATGGGGGCCAAGGTGGAGTGTGGGTGTCCCTGAGTCCCCAGCTTGGGTGGCATGTGCTCATATGCCTGTGAGGGTTTGTGTTTGTGTGTGTGCACAGCTGTCCCACCCCTCCCCTGGTTGCCCACAGAGCCCTTGCCCTTTCCTCCCCCCGGTTCCCCTTTTCTGGGGCTGTTTGGATAAGGGAGCTCATGATCCCTGGCCTGCTAGCTTGACTGGAGGTGATCTTTTTGTGTCGTGGGTGGGAAGGAGTCTGCAGATGCTGGGGCCAAGGTTGGCTGTGAGTTTTCCCTTTTCTTTAGGAACTGACCTCAGTAGCCAATGGAGAATCACTTCTAACTGTAAATTCCGAGTCAGTCTGCCATGGGGATCACAGGTGAGATAGATTCCTGTCCCACGGGGGTAGCACAGACTGCGCCCCTTGGGGCAAATGGGAGACCTGACCTGGCCCCGCCTCTGCCGCAGCCTCTACTGGCACTCCCAGCGCCCTGTGAATCACCCTTCCCCGCCCGTCCACCTTTCCTTTTGGTCATGGCACCACACGTCCCCCGGCCCTATGCCCCCACTGGAGAATATTTACTCATTCTTCAAGAGCCAGGGTGGAGTTGCCTCTCCTAATGCAGAAGGGTTCGTTGCGCCTGCTCTTTGAAGCAAAAGCATTTCCGTTCATTGCCTGTTGAAGCACCTGTTCTGTGGTACCAGAAAACAGGTACCTCTGTCATCTCCGCTAATTCTCACCATTTTAAAGGTGAGGACAGTGGGGCACAGAGAGAAGCTTTCTTGGAGTAATCATACATATCTTCCTCATTTAGCATGTATTTATTTAATTCCTGCTTTGTGCCAGGCACTGGGAAAGTGTCAGTGACCAAGACAGACAAGGTCCTTTGGGGAGTTTAGGTTTTGCTGAGGAAGAAAGACAAAGTGAGCAAAGAAATGATGTGTAAACCATGATACATGCTGTCAAAGAGTGAGAGTGTGCCGATGTGGGAAGTCACTGGGGAGCCTCTTGGGGAGGTGAGGGCAGGAAAGGGACGGGTGTGTCCAGGTACAGAGAGGAGGGGTGTGTCGGGAATAGAGGGTCAGACACCTGGGCCAAGCATGGCAGCAGGCCAGCTGTCCTGATGGGGAGGAGCTGGAGACCTGGCTCCCTTTTCCACAAGCCCACACCCCTTCACTCAGTAAGGGCTTTGGATTTTACTCCATGTGGAGGGAGGTCCTGGAAATGTGTTTAAGCAAGAGCGTAAGTCTTTTCTATCTGATTTTTCAGAAAGCGGCACTGGGGCTGCTGTGGGCTACAGAGAAGCATGTGTGATTGTCTGCTTTGGAGCCCATCTTTCCACCTAGACTTGGCTTCTGTGAATCTATGGGATTTGGTTTTCCTGCTCTGCTGTTTTCTATAAGCCAAGGACCGTGTGTGGAGCCCAGTGGATGCTTGGTGGATGGGAGGTAAATGACTGTATGTGTGCAAGGCAGTGGGGCCGGCGCTGTGTGGGCCTGGGTGGTAAGTCGGGCTTCCTGAACCCTCTGGGACAGACCCTTCACTGTCCTGACATGAGCCAGAGTCAGCAGGTGCCATCATCAAGACGGGAACGTGGGAACACTGCCTGTCTCGTGGGGTCTGGTGATGACCGAGCAGCCGTGTCCCTGTGGCCACCAATGAACTTGCACAGAGTGGTGCGATATGGTGAGAGACACACGCAGGAGTTTGCAGTGCATGTGTGTGTAGATGCGGGCTCTGTCCTCTCAGGACTGCAGCCAGCGGAGTGAGGAACAGGGGACTGCCCTGGAATGGCCTGGCATGCCCAGGGCATCCCGCACACTGGGTGTGCTTAGTGCGTCACCGGCTCCACTTCCCTGACTATAGGGTCAGAGGACAGTGGGCACAGTGGTGACAGGACAAGAAGTTGGAAGGCTGGCATCCCTTGTGAGCAGGGCTGATAACAACAGGTGGCTCTGATGGACGGTGGGGCTGAGTCTGCTGTGGGCTCAGTGGGCCACCAGCGCTCACCCAGGCCATGCAGCAGAGAGGAACAGTGTGAGGTCAAGCAGTAATGTGTCTCGTTTTACCCAGTGGTCATTGGGTTTGAGCCCTTCTTACATTGTCTGTTATGTCAGCTCCAAGAATGAAAACAAGAAGTTTTTTCCCAAAAAGTTAAATCTATAAAAATTGTTTTTAAGACCTTTAGCCCTGGGGCCAGGCTAATCTGGGCTGAATTGCCTCTTACAAGTTGTGTGATCTTGGGCAAAGGACCAACCTTCTTGGAGCCTTGTAACCCCATTTGTGGAATGGGGATCAAATGGCTTTAGCTTTAGGCTGCTGTTGGGAGGAAGAGAGCAGCCCATCCCTAATTCCCAGTGAGTGTGCAGGGAGTATTGGTAACTCCAGGCAGCGATTTTCAACCCTTTTCATTTCCTGGCACACATAAACTAGTTACTAAAATTCTGCAGCACACCAAAAAAATTTTTTTTTGTGGTTCTGACAAGAAAAAAATAGGTGTGATTTTGGTCCATTCACACCAGATAGCTATTGTTGTGTTGTCTGCTGTCATTTTGTTTGTTTGACAATCTAAGGGAAAAGTGGCTCAGGTTAGGGGCATAAAACTTCCCCTGGCTGCTTCTTTCTCTCTCTCTCTCTCTCTATCCTCTCTTTCTCTCTCACACACACACACTTTTAGACAGCAAAACCAGCTCTACTGAAAGCAGGCTGGAGGAGCCCTGAAGGCTGAGAGAGCAGGTCCATGGCCCCAGGGGAGGGTCCTAAGGGGGAGGACAACAAACTGGCTGAGTCACTGAACAGTAAACTCTGGATTTTGGTTTTTGTGTACTAACTGAGAAAGGATGGGGAGAGGTGGTCAAGTGCCTTTACAGACAGCCGGAGTCCAGTTGGAAATGGCTAAGGGTCTTTCTAAGCTCATGGGTGTTAAATATTCAACTAAGTTTTTGTACTTTTGCTATGAAAACTCCCTTTCTCTCTCCACATCTTCAGTAAAGTCTGCCCTGTAAACAAAGGCTTTTGTGTGACTGATTTTTTTTTTTTTTTTTTTTACAGAAATGAAAGTCTAATCTGTCAACAGAGCAACAAAAGCAGTAGTGGCCATAGAGGCATCATAACTGAACCAGGCCAACAGAAGCCCAGTCCCTTGCAAGAGAATGGAAAGTACTCAGGGGGTGTCTGCAAGCATAGGGTACCGTGCAAGCCAGTATCTTTGGGCTGTCAGAGAACCAGTGCCTTGACTGCCGTCTGGGTTATGT